ATTTAAAGCGATCTAAAGCGAACGAGAAATACAGAAAACATTGATCGTTTCCCAACGATTTGATCCTCTGGGAATTCTATTGTATGCTAATGACCATAACACCAAATTCTTTCGCATCATCAGAAGTCCTCAATGTTAATCTGATTGATTAGGTCACTACTTAGGGTTTTTAAAATTCCGCTCAGCCGTTTAACTTCCACCCACTACTACTTTGAATGTTGTCCCCTTAGATGTGAATATTGGATTTTTTATTCATAATATTTGGCACCACAGGCTTTCATTTCTCTGTTGTCTAGATTTCTTTAGAATTTGAACGCTGTTGACTTAATCCCTTAGTGATGTTAAAGACCTTATAAATAACTAAAACAGATTTCTTTGGTTTTTCTTTGCGAAAGATTTCCTAGGGAGGATTTTACACCTAAATCAAATTCCAGATTCGGACTCCGTAAAATTTCAGCGAGCATTTTTTTTAAATGTTGAATTTTTTTCATAATTCAACGCCTCAACCTGCTGATTAAAATATTTGTCAATATTCCCACATCATTGTTTTAACTTGCACAAAAGCAGATGTAACGCACACACAATAGAAACTTAGAAGCCACTCTTCGCTGGAAACCTATTGTAATAGCCTTTACGCCAAGCCCCCCTATGAGAGCGCTGGTAGCCAGAGGGCATTACTCTACGATTATGACACTCATCTGGCTGGCAACGACGTCGTGATGCAGTAAAAAAGAAATGCAACTTTAAAGAGTTGTTTTCTTATCTTTACTTACTTTAAACGTTTATCTGGCTGTCAACGACTCATGATAGCAAGCAAAGTAGAAATGACACCTAAAAAAGTCGTTTTCTTAATTTTACTTACTTTAAACGTTCTGCAGGCATTCATTCTGCTTTTTCTCGTCAAAAACGAAAACTGGACATTGGGTAATCGTTTTCGTAATGCGCGGACAAATGGGGGGGGGAATGACCCCGAGTTAGTTAAGACCGAGGCTCGACATCTTAGTGGGTTGAATGAACCTGGAAAGGAACTCACTCGCAATACATATAGACCTCCAGTTATCCTCACTACAGCAAATATGTCAACTGAAGAGGAAACGCTTTCAAGCTGTTCCCTTGACAGCAAGATTATTATGCCAGCCATTGATCAAGGCAAAGGGGAAATCTTTCTCCTCGTTTTGGTAACGACGGTTCCTAAATCTCTCGAGAGGAGAGAACTCATTCGAAATACTTGGGCGAAGCCTGCTCAAAATCTACTAATTCAAGAAAGCATGAATGCTACGAACTTCACGTCTCATGTCGTGTTTATGCTAGGAATAACAGGAGACCCCAAACAAGACAGCGCATTGGAAGAAGAGGCTACCAAGTATGGAGACATACTTCGAGTTCCGTGCATTGAGTCTTACAGAAATATCATCTCTAAAGTATGGTTTGCGTTTGAATGGGCTCTTTCGTATCATGCAAAATACATTCTAAAGGTAGATGATGATATATATGTCCGCCTGCCAAG